GTACGAATTGATTTATTTTTTTTTTAAATTTCTATTTATAGACATGACAAGTATAATGTCTACGACTAATCAAAGAGATGGATCAATGATTGAGTCGCTTACTTTAAGAGTGATTTCGTTACATTTTCCTAAACATTTGTAAATATATCATCCAATTTTATAAATATTCGTTAGTATTTATTCATCTCAAATGCTATCTTAAGTTTTTTTGGAAGCTCCATCATTATTTTATTTAAATGCGTTTTATTTTAACTTTTATGTTTTTTAATTTAGTCATTTCATTTATTCACTAGAAAAGCCTGCGCTTGGATCATACCTTCCGTGAAATGGATGGACATTGACGACGATTTTTAGTTAAAGAAGTTAAGAAGTAGACCTTTGTCGAATGGATAAGATTTCTACTTGAAATATTACTACTAGTGGTAAATATATTAATTACAATTGATTTCGATAGTTTTTTCTACGTTAAAATATAATAGAAAGGGAATATAGGTTTATTTAGCGTAAAAAGCGAAAATCATATGTCATAATTCACCTAAAGTTTTTCATATTCCCTTCAATTTTTGCAAAAACGTTAACAGAAAAAAACCTAAACTGGATGATGGAAATTCTTAGATAAGCTCTCCAACTATGAATGCCACAAAGAGCAAATACGCTTCAAATGTTTTTCGTATTATATCCAAGCTGTATAAAATTTACCACAGAAATACAAGGCGAAAGGTTTTTAATATCTAAAGTAAAGCTTTGGATCTGAATAACAATGAGGTATTGTATATTGTGTGTGAACTCACAGCAACTGTTGGATAAACGAACTCTAAACTATTCACACACAAACATACGTATATTCTACATTTTTAAACAACAGTAGAAATTCGTAGCATTTTACTCGACAATAGTTTTATTTGTTTGTATAATATTTTTGTTTGTTAAGCATTGGAATATTTTTGTTTTCATTGTGAGAGTTCTAAAAATTGCTGATAGAATCACACATCTAACCAAAATTTATTCATTTCAGTTCGAAATTCACACTACGTCATGAAATTTCACCCAATTTAAGATTATAAAACTACAATATAGTAAATCCAACTAAAACCATTCTCGCTCTAGTTTGTTACGTCTTAGATTTTTAAACTGTTTTTTCCTATTGTAGCATTTTAATATTGTTTTTTTCAGGTCTCGTCCTACCCAGCGGTGTTCGTAGCAGGCCGCCAGATGTCGCGACACATCCGCCCACTTCCGCACAATACTAACTTAATTATTGAATAATACATTGAATAATACACGATTCGATTTGGTATGCACTCGCTCAAACAGCTGTAGCTTACTTAAGAAATGCTTGATTAAATAAATTATTTTTACACTATGTGATAGTAGGTTTCGACTGCAGTGAGATTAATACATATTGATGTCTCTATTTAACTAAAGGGAATGTAAGGGATGACTATATGTTACGTTAGAAGTTTCAGTGGAGTTCAGAGGACTTATCATGAGTATTGGTGAGAATGTTTATGTAACGTAATCGACAAAATTATGTATGAGATTTGTGCATCTCACTACCTTATACAAATACGATGACGTTACGAATACATTCTCGGAATTATATTGTTTATTCGTAATAGACTCTCTGGATGAAAATTAAATTGTATATTTGTAAACTTTGATGGTATAAGTGAAGTTAGTCGGCTATTTCATACGTTTATTTGAGAAAAATATCAATGTATAGTTTTAAAAATCTCCTAACATGTCGCTAACAGCCTAATACCTTAAATCTACTTCCTTACTTCGTTCCAATTATGTAACTATGATTTCTAAAAAAGACCAATTTTATTTAGATAAAGAAAAAGTTAGTACCATGTTTAACATTTAACAAATATCCTTTACATTACAATTTGCGGTCAAATGTTTAAGTTGTAATTAATGTTTGTTTTGTATGATATGGAAATGAGAATATGTCCCTTAAGTCTGTGGCACATAACCGCGTAAGCGATTCGAACCGAAATAGCAACTAAAATCTTTAATTTGCTCTAAATTTAATTCGATGTCGCAAAGTTTAGAGTAACTCTACTAAATTTCTCGCCATCGAATCTATCGGTTCAGCTTTTCCACGGCTGTGCTACAGACCTAAGGTTCATTTCTATGTATTCTACTTGAAGTTTTAAAACGTGTAGCGTCTTGTAAATAGCGTAGCTTATAATCTTTGCTCAAATGAACTTATTCCGTTCATCTTGCACAACTACTATGTAGGTAACGCAAGAAGGCGTATGTCTTGTGCTCACTTTACGTAGATATAACGCTTCATATGCTAATATTCTCTGATAATAAACTTTAGCGGTTTATGTGTGACAAGACAAGCGGTCTTCGTTGACTTGGACCAGTCGAGATTTGAGAAAAAACGAGTTGAAAAGTGTCCCTCCAGTTCTGTAAAATGTTAAAGATTTTCGACGCGTTTCTTGGTGATCCTGGATTCTTGTAATATTGTCATCGATATAGACAACAGGGGTTTTTGAGGGTCAAATCCCACATAACTTTGTATTACCCCAGAACGCAGGGTAGTGTGCATTTGTAGATTCAAAAGATATGGTCCACCATATTCAGTCATTATCAAAAAGTTATGTGTAGCGTCTCAACAAAATTTCGAGCCACCATAAAGTTTTAATGATACTGTACTGATTTCTTTTAAAACCATAACCGTTTGATTTTATTTGAATGTTTGCGCAGTGTGGGCATTTATTTATTTTAAAAAGGGAGTATAAATGCAGATATTTGACTTTGATTATCATTTCAACGAAATGTAGTTTATCAAGTGATATTTAGAAAGTTAAATTTAAAAGCAATTTAAACTAAATGCAGTAAAATGACGCTGTTTTAATATCCTTTATAGAATTAATCTTTGATATAGTTAGTTTCATTTTGTAAAAAAACTAAAATGTCCATGCTACAAATGTGAAAGTGTAAATGTTTGGTAAAAGCAAGTAAAAAGTTAAAATTGAATTTTGGCCATATGAACTGTGACTTTCGAAATATAGTATTGTATAGAACTATACTAACCGAACAATGAATAAATCTACTTGCCTTAACTTTTTAATCTTATTCTCTAGGGCTTAGCCGCAATTCGTGATTTTGATGCCTTTAGTAGATTAATCGCTTGGTAGAACTTTTTATGACATTTTGTCCATCCGACTTTAAAAATTAACTTATTTTGTTTGTTACATTTAAGATATATTTCTAATCATAATGAAAACTACCCTGGGTTTGCGAATATTCAAGCAAGAGTTTTGTTAGTTTTTTTCAGAATGTATGACTGATGTTTTTTTTTAAATAACCGTTGTAAAGGAACCCCAGGTTAAACTAGATTACTTTATTTTTAACCACTGATTTCAGTGTAAATCAGAGTAAATATGGATGGACGAACTAGTCTTTTAAACTACGATTGTAAATATTTTCCCTTATCTAAATCTTAAATAGGTTATTCTGTAATTCTCAACTTTATAAAACCTTTCCTGTTCCTTCTCGTTTCTGCACCTTTTAATGTCTGATTGCTGTCAGTTCTGTGACATTTCAAGCACATTTGTTATCGTGAATTTCAGTGTGGCAACATTTTATTCCATGTCTTTTTTCCAATGGGAGTGAGATGACTGTACGTATAAGTGTTGCCAGTGAAAATTCACACTTAATGTTACAGTGAGAGTATTTGACAATATTTTATGAAAGTTTTAAGAGAAATATTTTTATGTAATTATGGAATGATTTGTATATACGAATGTACCTGGATAAAGTGGGACAATTATGAAATGGTGGTTACACACGTTATATGCTCTATAAACTCGATGCCTAGCATATCCGAATATTGTACCATGCATTTAAGTTGACTTCGAGCATTTGTGATAAGTCTTGCATACGTTACTGTTTACTCGAGATCGAGTTAGTTTATCGAGCATGTAAGTACGTGTGTACCTACCATAATAAGTAATTTATAAATATTGTAAAACAGAGCACGCTAGATACAGTTGTAATGTCACAATATATCGTATATTTATTTAAAAAACACACCTGTATTAAAAGCAATAAGTGAACAAGCACGTTGGATATATTTATAATAGTTAACGATTAAAGCTGTATATATTTTTAATATAAAATTTAATAAATTACTTTGTTTCATTCTGTACCCGAAACATTTTACCGGGAATTTCAAATTTCGTGTCTCGTGTACGAAAACTGTTGTTATGCCATTGATTTTTTAGAGATAAAAGGGATAGCTATAAATAGTACTAGCTGTTTTTGCGACTCCGTCTGCGTGAAATAAATATAATTTAAAAACATATAGCTACTCACTGATAACGTAGCTTTTCAATGGTAAAAGAATTTGCAGTCAACAAAGTAATTTTTGAGTTCTGTCAATATATACAAAAATACAAATCTCTCCTTTTTATAATATTTGAACAGATTATACAGCATGTTATGATGGCGGACATTTACCGGTACGAGTCTAATTTGAAGTGTTTTTTTCCTTTTAAAAATACAAGAAAGTTTACTTCCAATCATATGAATACATCTTTATCTTTAGTTTCTGTGTCATCGTAGATGAGGATAAATAAAAAGCAAATTGACAGTACCGTATGATTTATATTTTCACTTACATATATAAAACTTCGGAGCTAAAACATCTTTAATTAATATTATCTAACATTAATGTTTGTTATATTTTCAACAATAGTTCTGCTCAAAACTATTCTGACTATGCCTGTTACAAAAATAATTTCATTTATAGTCTGAAATAAAGAAACTGTCTTACAACTAACATATTGGCCTATTTATAAGCATTTTTTTTTTATCAAATAATGCGTGACTTAATTGACGATTACAAAAATGCAATCAAATCTTACGCAAATTGAAAAAAGGTTAGTTTTTTTAAAGAAATATAAAAGTAAAATATAAATAACATTAATAAAATGTCGATTATTTACAATTTATATAGAATATTTAAACGTTATAGACACATAGTTGTAAAAAATATTTTTTAATAAATACTACCACACGTATAGTTTAAAAGATTTAGCGTAAATAATTAAATGTTTAGTTTTACGTATAGATAATAATCAAAAATTATAATTTTTAAGATTACTACTTAAGAGCTATGTTTTAACTATCACCACTTGCAAGTAACTTCCCATTTAATTTTTTATTGACTTAGTATTAATTTGATTTTTTTTAATTCAACTTTTTTTTACAGAAACAAAAGAAATCAACAATTTAGTAACAACTTTTTAATAGCATAATTTTGATGACCACCGTATGCGATAAACCGCTAGCAACGTAATTAGGTACTAGCTGTCGCCCGCGACTCCGTCCGCGTGGAATAATAAAACAAAAGTAAGTAGCCTATGTGTTCTTCCAGACTATCCTTTACATCTATACCAAATTTCATCGAAATCCGTTCAGCCGTTTTGACTACAAACTCCAACAAACATCCATCCATCTAAACTTTCGCATTTATATTAGTATAATTAAAAAAAATATATCTGTTTGAAGTTTTCACATTTTACGTAAAAAATGTTTAGATGACTAAACTACATTAAAACTTTTATAATTATAAATCGTTTTTATCCAAATTTTATATCTAGACAATATGCTCTATTCCGAAACTGTACAAAGCGATCGGGTGTCAAAAACATAAATAATTTTCTCATATTTCTGCCAAGATTAATTAATTGGACGGCGAAGCGGTGCTTTTTATTGAAATGAAGCTTAACAAGGCTTTAACATCGACTATTCTTAAGTAAACGAAGCGTTAATGTGGTCCATCAAATGTATTTAGGTGTACAACAAAGGTCATCGCTCAATAGTGGCCACCCGGCAGCGCCTTGCCGAGACAACGCAGCGCTAAACCCTCGCGCTATGTGCTTGTATTTCGTTTCATAAATATTTTCATTCGATGTTTTCAGGTCTCTTTCTTTATTGATATATTTGCATTAGTGTATAAGGCAAAACATTCTAATAGCGCCACATCGCTATATTTTTTTTATTGAAAATATTACAAAATAAAATATTAAAAATATGCACAAATATGGCCCCGCAAAAACCATATAATTGGTTTGTCCGCGGGTGCGCTGGTTAGATTTACAATATAACATATGTAGAGTGTCGTAGTGGAGTGTTGGATAGTTTTGACATATTTTTTTTGTGTAAAATTACACAAAATACGTACATACATAATATACTGTATATAAATAAAATATTCTATTCAAGGGCTATTAACGTTAATGAGCGACAACCTTTATTGCGTCGTATAGAATAACGCAGGTAATTGTGGACATCCAAAGTGTTTAAAGTTATATAAAATTGAACAGTTTAAGGCAGTGACCACATAGCAACATTGGTAAATGTGGTTTTACGGCGTTACAAGTTACAAGTATAGCTAAAACATCCTAAATCTGAAATATTCAGTACCATTGCGGGAATAACGTTTTATTAAAAAATATATTCTATAGACAGTAAATTTGTGACGCCAGAATTTGAGTAACTAAATATGTTTTATTTGTAATATACATAATTGATTATTTTATATCGGTCTATCAATATATATAATATACTATACAAATAACTAATTTTCTATGTATTAAATAGCGGTATTTTTTTATCCAGTAAAATCTTTATAACAATTAAAATCCACCAAGAATGCTTTTAGAGCGCCGTATGCTAAGTGTTTTAACTCGGTTACTCTCGGGAGTATGCAAAAAGCTAACGGTTTACTTTTAAACAGGATTGTGTGTTCTTTGGTCAATTGTGGAGATCTTGGAATGGTTTGCATTAATTTCTCTTCACTTTATTTGCAATAGAAGGATCGAATACAAGCGTTTGGATTTGATTTTAGATGATCGTAAGTCGTTTTAAACAATGAGCCAGAATAAACTAAAAACGTGTGTATTGAAACAAGAAGCCCTTTGACGAATTATTGATAGCTGTCAAACAGCAGCAAAATGCACTTTGTTTAATTTAAGGTGATAATTTCGATTACAATTGTGTAGTGTTAATAATCCAATGAAGCTAACATTGGCTTATTTGATTAACAGACGCCTTTTCGGGTTAATTTAAAGTTCTTTGAAGGGTTTTAATCCATTTTTAAATCAATTTAGAGTTTATCCTTTTCCTGGCGCAATCAGATTCATAAATAAGTAGCTTAGTGTAGTTTTCATACGAAAAATCCACACACCGCTACTATTTCAGCCAGGCACTCTGAATGTGATAGTACAGTCAGCTTCATAAATGTTTACACTTACAAAACTACAGAAACTTATATACGCTTTCGATGTCAGAAATATGCATGTATCCGTCCGTATGCTACAAACCATAAATATATTGAACTTTCTTTCGCCCGTGACTCCATCCGCGTAAATTAAAAAAAAACAATAGCGAGTGTGCCTATGCCAAATATACCAAATTTCTTTAGAGATCCGATCAGCCGTTTAGCCTACAAACTATAACAAACATCCATCTTAACTTTCGCATTTATAATATTAGTAGGATTGACGAATATATGCATATAACCGAAGACTGAAACAAGTATCTAAAGTTTTGCAAAATGCATATTTATGTACGCGTACATTATCGATTTAGTTTGAAATTTACTGGAACTCGTCGTCGGAGCTGAGGAGTGTGGTCTTCTCGTGGTTGGCGTGGCTGATGGTGGCGACGCGCTGCGGCGGCCGGGGCGCCAGCGCCGCGCCCTCCTCGCAGCGCTTGCCTTCGCCCGCGCGCATCACTGCACCACGCACGTCACAAACACAAACATTATAAACAATTTTTTTATAGTAATGTCTAGTTCGCATTAGGCTTGTAATGTGGTCGAGTATCGAGTAATTCAGTACCTACCTCATTCGGCCAAATAATGCAATCTGATAGAAGTTATCAACTTAAATGTTTAAAGCTAGTCATTTTTCTATTTTATATTCCATTTTAATTTAATTGTATTATATCTAATATTTTTATTATTCTTAAATTAGGCTTAGATTAAATCACTTTTGTGTTTATTCTATGATCGAAAGAAATACAATTTTAATGTAAAAAAATGTTTTAACTTTAACAAAATAATAAAGAAAAGAAACACGCTCCCCAGGTCCCTGACTAAAAATGTGTTAGGGGAAAGAGAGGGCGGCATAAAGCCACCCATTAAAAAAAATTGAAAGAAATTAGGTATTTAAGCGTGGCTTTATTTAGGACGCTGTCATATATTTAAATGGCGTTTCAGTATTCGGCTGTTTACGATTTGAAAATCTATTAGACTTAATTATTCAGACATAAGTTACTCGATACTCGACTAATTTAGCTTAGTGCGAACAAGCCTTTAGGGTGGTTGGGTTAGTTCAACTTTAAGGAAATCCAGACACCTGTGTAAATGAGTGATAGTGTTTGTTTATGTAGAAAAATTGTGCTATTGTGTTATTGATAAATAAATGCCGTGTATATAAAAAGCATTGTGTACTTCCATAATGCTGTTTGACATTTGTGTTGAAATCAAAAATAAAAGTGTATTCAGATTGTAGTTCAACTTTTGTTCCATCCATCCATCCATCACCAGCTCACTACATGTCCCCACCGAGGGGCTCAAAGCCTACCCTAATAAGGGGTGACTAGGCCATAGTCAACCACGCTGACCAGGCCATAGTCAACCACGCTGGCCAAGTGCGGGTTGGTTGACTTCACACATATCTTTGAATTTCTTCGCCGATATGTGCAGGTTGCATCACGATGTTGTCCTTCACCGTAAGAACGTCGGGTAAATTATACATATGAAAATTCAAAAAATCGAAAATCACATTGGTATATGGCGGGATTTGAACTCAAGACCTGTAGATTACGAGTCAAGTGCTTAAATCACTGAGCCAACGACGCTCGTTCATAAACATTAAAAAGTCTAGAATTTTAGTTCTTTTGGATGTTACAACATATTGTAAAGACCTATACGATGAAAATATCAAAATGTGTATGTTGAAAAGGGTTATTCTAACATCGGGAAAATGTCACATGAGTTATTAAAATCAGTAAAAACCCACCCATGCAATGAACATTTCGTGTATGAAGATTAATATGAAAAAAGAGAACGAATATATAATTTATATCTCTATGTAATATTACAAAAATCTATTAATGTTAACTGTTAAAAATGACAAAAGCAGACATAAAAATTAACAGATTAATCAATTTATATAACAATTAAAAAAAATACGAACAATAAAGGCATTCCGGCAAATAAATATAAAAAGCATACAATGCAATGTGTAATTATAACTTACCTTTTTTTCGATGACGTCACGAATTAATCAAAGTAAATGTTACAGTAGAGTCGTTTATTTGTTAGCGAAAGGGCAAATACAAAGATAAAATTAATCTATAGACGAAATGAAACAATATCCTTCTTAACCTAAGTTTAGCATATCGTCAATTACAAAAACAAAAACTTAGTTTAAACGCCCGTTTGGGCAAAGCGCGACTTATTTATACCTAATTTATTAACAAGTATAAAAAAAGAATCGTTAACGCGTAAATACAAAGCATTATAAACGTGGAGTTTGATACTTTTATAATGAAAAAATCAAATAAAATATGTTTTTTGTTGGTTTTTGTCAGTCAAGTTTATGTTAATTTAGTGCTTCGATAAAAGCAAAAGGCATTTTAAAAATATGTTTGTATTTAGCGGATTTAAATCAGATTTGTAATAAAAAAAAACGAGGATTTTTTTTTGGTTGAAATTAAGCAGTGTTTCGAAATTCAAACCTCCACGGTTATAAAAATTACTTGCCTTGACATTTATAAAAAAAAAACAAAGTCACCGACATAAATCGGTCTTTGGCAATTTAAAACTGTACATTTCGGTGGACAACAGCTGGTAAGAACGTTATGCAACTTTTTATCGAAAAACTACGTTTAGAAAAAAAACTTATTAATATTTTACGTTACAAGAATTTAGCCTAGCATTTACTAAAAGGATCAAATCCACTAACTAGTTAAAAATCAAGAAAATGTACAGATTTAAGAAGAAAAACGAAAAAAAATCACAGAAATAAAAACATTTACAATCTCCACAACACATATATTGGCTTAAAAAAATAAAAATAATAAAACTGTCAAATAATTTCAATGATCAGTCCGAGTACAGATAAACATTTCTATTTATGGACATCAAAAAAATATTTTTTTTATCTAAACAAAAAAAAACCGGTTTTTTTATTATGCACTTCGGACTAGTCAAAACATCAAAAAAATAACAGTAACAAATTTACATATATAGAAATACAAAAACTCGAAGAGCAAAGTGTGTATGTATTTTATCAGAAAACTTTGTCGAAAAATGTATTTATTTATACTAGATATGAAAAATTTATAGTTTTATGAATTACTTTCGCATATAATTTCGATTTTTTTTTTCAAATATTAAATTTAAATATACTTTATATATCGTGTTATATCTGAAACTTTTATATAATCATTTATGTCAAACGTAAAGCTTATAAATTATCCATATGAAAATAGTAAAATGACTGTTTATTAATCTTTATATTTTTTTTGTAATTTTCGATACTTTTTGTATTTTTTTTCAAGCTCACATAACCTGTAGAAAGACAATTTTATAGAAATTTATCGCTTTGAAATGTTTAACGTAAAAAAGTTTTTTATGTGTAAACAATATTGTTAGTGATGTAACCATGCTCGGAGGGTTATGCGACTGGCAACATACAATATTTTTTTATTATTTCGTCTATGGTCCGAGTTAATCTATGATCAGAGTTACTCTATGTTCAGAGCGAGTCTATGATGAGGGCAAGTGTTACAAGTTGCATCATGGCGTATATCGTAATACACAGACAGCAATGCGCATCATGCAGAGCACAGCTATGGCAGTTTATAATTTCTCATAAGGCAGATGAGATGTGACATCTGAAAGAAAATTAAATCAAAAATAAAAATACCGCGCAATATTTTTCCCTTAGAAAAAAAAAAGACGTAAAAAATTTGGAAAAAAACTACTATTACGTCTAAATTACTATTATACTTTATAAATAGTAGCTGTAATTGAAATAGCTACCATTACTAGCGATAACCTATAATTTGGTCCAATATTTGGCAAATAAAATAGATCAGGCAGCGAACGGCATGCGCATACAGACAGACAGACAGACTACTCACCAGAACTGTACTGCGTGTACTGCTGGTACTGCGGGTGGAAGTTGTGGAAGGCGTCCGTCATTATGTCCTTCGGGTTCATTGTCTCCTGGAAACGGACAATGCATATTATATTAGTTTATGTGAAAGCTTTGCATGTTTTTTTTAATTCTAAGCTCTACTTATTTATATCTGTACTAATATTGTAAAGAGGAAAGATTCGATTTTTGTATGTATTTAAATAACTCAAAAACTACTGGACCGATTTTAAAAATTATTACACCGTTAAAAGC